AGATTTTTGTTGTATTGGAGTAGAATTTGTAGATAAAGAATATTCATCTGGTTGAATGTTTTTAACCATTTGTTGAAGTTGAGCTAAGGCAGATTTTGCTTGTTCGAGTTCTCTAAAATTTGAAATATTTATGTCGAAGATTATTGTCTTGACAAAATTTAAATGTAAAAAGTTACTAATGAAAATTCTAATAAAGAATTTTCAAAATAGAAAATGTGATGATCTCTTAAAATGGTATTGCTAAAAATAGCTTTTAAGAAGTGAAAACTACCGTGTCCAGCTTTTTTTAGAAACCTTTGCCCGTCATAATTCATCTATGAAATCTTGCTGAGCTAGGTACTAAACATTATAGAAAAATATTACGTTATTATTCAACTTTTGAAGAATACTTTTTCTTCTCTTCATAGATTAGAAGAGTGTACTCATGGCTGAAAAGATCGGGACACATATGAGCCTTTTCTGAAGAATCTTGTTTCCGAGAATAAATGTAGAAGAATATTCTTGAATTTAATTCGGCTTAAATTGGGGATAAACCTATTAGAGATATGAGATTAGCATTAGTATTAAAACTACTTGCATTAGACTTAATTAATACCAAGCTGTTAGCATATTTTTTTATAATTCTAATGCACACGTTACCTGTGAGAATTCATATTCGAAAGGTTCCGATAATAAAACAAAGGTTTTTTTATATTTGGAAGTGCCATTTTCAAAAATAGAACAAAATTGTTCAGTTTTGAGAACTTCTGAATTTAGTGTGTTCGAAATCTAATCGTCGATAACCTATGTATTAGAATTATAAATAATGCTAATAGCTTTGGATTAGTTAAACCTAATAAAAATAATAACAAAAAAGTAAGAACATTCTCTCCCTTTCGTAACCCAAAATTTTTTCGAATCTAAAAAAATATTTTTTTTAAAGATTCAAAAATTCGAGAAAAAATCAAAATTAGCGAAAACTATACATTTTTTTCACTTTAACAAAGAAAAAAACGAAGTTTTCTTCCACACACTACGTCTGATCGACTCCAGCCGCTGCGCTCCAACGAAAATAAAAGATCATTGTTTTATTGGAAAACTTCTTTTTTTTTTGGCTTCTTCACACATTACCTTCCGTACTAATTAATGACACTCAGATTCTGTTTTAAACGATAAAAACAGAAGAAGAAAAGCTATAATTCGCAGTATCCGTCTGATATTTTCTCGTTCCAGCATGGGAACTACCCATCTCTGAGCTCGAAAAAATGAAATATAGGGTTTTACCGAGGGAGAAACTTTTGTACTTCGCGATCTTCCTGAAGGAAGAATCTGAGAATTTTGAGTCTATGACAACTTTTGCTGGACTTATCGAGATCTATTTACCTTGAAACTTTCCTAATTTTTCGTAGAGTCGTTCTCGAGAAATCTCGAAAAGAGAAGGAGAACCTTCTTAAAGCATTAGTATTAATAAGTTCTAATGCAAAACTCCTAGAAGTAATATTATGTGCATGGACTCGATTACATATAGACCAAGATCTTAAGCATTTGATAGATTTAACTTTCACTTGATAAAAAAATTTTGCACTAATAGAAATCTTTGCACGTTCTAATTCATTTTATTATTAATCATTTTCACGAAAACAAGACACTGTGAACTTCGTTTCTAAATCAACACTTACAATCTTTTAGCAGCTAAATCACTTGATACTTTATCAAATTGTTTAGAAACATTATTATTGTTTGTTTGTGGTAAAAATGTTTTTAAATATTGTGTATCATCTAATTGAATAAGAGTATTTTCATTATGTTGATTATTTAAATCTGTTTGATAATATGTTACAATTTGTTCTAATTCATCTAATCTTTGACGAACATGTTCGAGATTTTTTAAACGATTTTCTTTTGGTTTTTGAGATTTATTTGATGAACTAAATTAAAAAAGAAACCTCATATGATGTTAATGGAAAAGAAAATAAAAAACAAAATTTACTTTTTTTGTTCATATAAATTTCGAAGTGATTTTAAACTAAATAATTTAAAGAAATTTATTTCGAAAAAACGAAAGTTATTCTTATTCATACCGATTACGTGTGTTATTAATATCCGATAAAAGATTATTTTCTTCATTGGTTTTATTAACATTTGTACTTTTTTTATTAATTAATTGTTGTTGTTGTTGCTCAATTAAACGTTGTTCTGAACGTCGTTTCAAAGCAATTAATGCTCTTTTTTGACCTTGTAAAGCACGAAACTGAATATAGAAATAAATATAATGTTAATTATAAAATCATATTTTTTATATTTTACTTGTTCTTTTTGTAACATTAAATTTTTTTCAATTTCTTTTTCATTTTCACCATCACTTTCTTCATCATTAGACTTGAATAGAAAAGCAAAAAATAAAAGTCAAAATATACAAAAAAAAAAAAAAAGAAATGTTCATTTACAGTAGATTGTTGATCTTTCAAATTAATTGTATCACTTTTAAGACTTCCAATAAGTGAATCATAATTTGAATTATCATTACGATTTGTTTGTTCATTATCTGATAAATTTATTGTTTGCGGTAGAAAACCTATTTTACTTTCTATACGTGGCCGAACTGATGATTGAACATTACGTCGAAGTGATAGATCATTCTTATTTATAAATTACAAAAACAAAAAATAGATTAAATAAATTATTTGTCTTTTTTGAAATACATACATCATCATCATCATGTGTATTCATTTGTGTTTGACGGTGAGATGTAGCATTTCTATTTGTGATTGTTGACCGTTCTTCAGCTGTCAACTAAATATTAATAAAAGAAACCATATTAATTATCAGAAATGATCATAACACAGCATGTAAAGAAGTTTCACATAAACATTTCTGAAAGATACTGATAGAGAGATAAGTTTAGATAATTTTAAGAAAGTTACAAACTCATAATTCATAACATTATTTAGATTTCATTCTGCTTTGAGAGAATCTGAAGCTGAGAGTAGAGCTCGTCAGGTTCGAAATTTTTGGATCTGATTAATAGAAAAATTCCAGTCCGGGATCGACTCGATGGCCTCTAGCTGCAAGAGAGTAGTGGCTATAAAAAAAACTTATTTTACCCAGTGTCCATTTTATGAACTCAAAGGAAAGGAGATTTGATAATTATCACTTTCATATCTATTGAAACATAGAAATGAATCTTCTAATAATAACTTCACTTTATCGTATCACATATAACCTCACGATGTCACTAGGACATGAAAATACTATTAGTAGTAGACTGAAAAACAATTTAGTAAGATATTCATGCAATATTTATTTAAGAGAGACCCCTCAGCAACAATTTTTTTTAAAATTGTTCATCTGATTTCAATCAAAATTTCACAGTCTAGACTAGAATAAATTGTGGATAAAATATCTTCAAAATAATCATGAGTTATAGTCAACTCTTTACACTAGGAAGGTTTTTAAAATGCAGATACGAGCCAATATATCGTGGTGATTTTTAAATTGTAGAATACACTTTGCTCTAGATCGTAATAGAGTCCGATTGTTGAGTTTCCCTTTGTTTGTGTTTTAAAAAAAAACTTTTTTGAAAGTGTCTGTTGTATAAAATCAGAAAACAATTACCACTTTTATATTGAGTCGTTATTAACTTTCTTCGTTTAACAAAAGAAAATTATGTCTACTTAAGGCTCGATCCTCAAAAAAAGTTACTTGTCGTCAGAATGGTCGAAATTAAGATAAATGCATAGGAAGATAGCCCGTCATTTGACTTTTCGTAAACGACAAAGATTTTTATTCGGCACCTCATTTTTTTCTAAAATGTTTGACCCTTGTTTGGTCAACATCTCTATCAAACGTCATGATATCGGACTGAAAATTTTACTATAGCCCCAACATATTCTGAAAATCTCATGTCATTTGAACGTTCCTGGGCTGAGATGGATTTTAGGGAGGCTTCAAACTTCATTGCAATGACGACTATCATAATATGTATAAATCTCGAAAAATCGACTTCTCTGAATGGAACGAGGAAGGGCTTAAAAACACAATAGAATCCACTGTTTCATTTAGGAATACAATGGTAATGATGCATCAGCGGGATATTATCATCATTGGATCCTTAACTTTATTTATGCAAAAGTTTCATACAAAACAATGAATGAAATGCAGATAGCTATTGTTATATTTTCTTCGAATAAATAATCGTTTATCATTATTGTATTATTTCTCCTAATCAAAAAAAGCTGAACTTTTGTATTGATATAAAATAATTCGATATATATATTTCAATAGAATTTAACTAATTGTTAAAAATCGATAAAAATAGTTGAATTAATTTACCGTAATTAAATTAAGTAAATTAATATAACTATTTTGTTGTTCTTGAAGATTTGCAATAAGTGAACGAAGTTTTTCATGTTGTTCATCACTATCCGGCTAGAATTAATTATGAGAATTTTTTTTTTTGAATAATAATAAGCATAAATATTTACAACAAAATTTTCGAATTTTTTCATTGATTCAAGCATTGTTTGTGCTTGTTCAATTGAATTTTGTATTTGTTTTATACGATTCATAATTTGAGTTGGAGAAATCATCTACATATAAAGAAAAGAAATTTTTCAGTTATTTTTATACTTTTATTTTGTTTTTGTTTTTTTTTACTTCTAATGATAGATCTTGATCATTATTAGTTATTGTATCAGTATCATGTGTTTCATTTAATTCATCTTTATTTCCTTTTCCAACTGTTGGTCGTGGTATACTTTCAGCTAATAAATCATCCTCATTTAGTTCATTATTATCATTCGGATAAGCTGGATTAAAAAATGACATCTTAAAAACGAGAATTTATTATAACGAAAAAAAAAACAACAACATATAATTATTTACTTGGTTATTCGTATTAGGTAAATTACGTATTTTTCGTTTAATTGGCATTTAAATTATCTAGAAAAATGATAAATAGTTTTGTATATCTGTACATTAGAGATTATCGAAATTGCACAAAAAAACAAAACATAATGCTACTATTTATCGATTTTCTTCATTCGTATACGACGAGCTTCAACTAGAAGTTTTTCAATCTCATTTCGATTTGTTTCTATTCTTTGATTATTATTATCCACATTTGTAGATATATTAGATGTATCACCATGATATTTCATTGCTAATAAATACATTTCTGGTGATTGATAACGTGATGCACTTGGTTTTACAAGATGAACAATATGAAAAAGTGATTCAAGTAATATACGCATTTCTTGAAATGTTTCTTGTCCTTGAAATAATTTACAAAGAAAATAACCATTTGTTTTTAATAATCGACGAGCAAAGTCAAGAGCTTGTCGTTGAAGTACCACTATAGCTAAAAAGAAAATATCAAACAAGATACTTAAGTAGTTTTTATTTTGAGTTCATTTAAAAGTAATGTTTTCTTTTATTTAAATTTTCATTTAACATTTCTAACCTGAATGATCAATTTCTTTACATCCAGTAACATTTGGACACATATCAGAAAGAATTCCATCAACTTTATCAATTTTTAAACGATTTAATAAATCTTGTAATCTTCTATTACAATCATTATTTGTTTCTTCTGTTAAATTCCAATCATCAATAATATGTACACCGGGTATATCAAAAATTGGATCACGATCAAGTGCAATAACTATTCCACATTTTAAATCTGGATTTGGTTTATATAATGATGTTATTTCACTTGGATGTACTAATTCATTTTGTTGTTGTTGTTGTTGTGATTTTTTTCCTTTATTAATACGAGCATTAACTCCTTTAACAAGTACTTGTGACCATGCACCAGGTGCTGCACCCATATCAATAACAATATGACCAGGTTCTAAAAATTTATATGTATTATTCATTTCAATTAATTTAAAAGCACTTCGTGCTCGATAATTTTCTTTAACTGATCGACGAACATATGGATCAGAGACATGTCTAGTCATCCATGATTTTGTATAATGATATGTACTTATTGAAAATGAACGATAAGAAAAAAATTGTTTGATCAACATCAATATCTAAATGTTGAGTTTTAACAATTGAAAAAATACTTGAATGAAAAAGGATTTTCTTTCTTTTTTTTCATCCAATATTCTCTTCCGTATATTACCCAGAAAAGGGTAACGATGAAGTGATTACTTCCATCGGTCAATATTTTTAAAATTACGTTTTCAAGGTAACAACCTCGAAAAATTTTCCTATCGAAATAACATATCGATTTCAATTTCACATAATATAATCTCTGTATTTTTTCTTTTTGTTTTTGTTAAATTATTAATGAGCTTTAGTCATTGTTGTTTTCCATGATTCAATTTAGTAAACAAAATCAATAGTCAATATGAGTGCGACATCTTTCGAACTAATATACACAAGAGAGATGAGATCTGGTCGTGTTTGTTTTTAACGGAACAGAGTCAAAACTTATACACAAATTAGCAAATACACTAGAGTATCCCATGACAAGTATTATGACAGTTGTTTGCCATCGTATTCACATAAGCTTCTTCTGAGTGAAGAGGGTGGTAGAGGTGAGTTTGTCTTACTCCTTCCTCTTGTCAATAAAAGAAAAATACTTCACTTATTTAACCTAAAACATATCCTGGAGCTTGTTGTTGAAATGAATCTCAATAAAAAATTGTATTTTAATTTTTTGCAATAAATATTTGCAGTTGGATTTTCTGTTTAAGATAAATCTGAATAAAAAAAGTATGGTGTAGTTTTTTAATTGATATTTTTCAACCTGGGATCAGATTTAGATGTGATTGGTTCGAGGCTTTTTTTTGAACCGAACCGATCCTATCTCTGATATACAGATACTTTGTATAAGAGGTTTTCAAATGAATAATTGTGTTTCTGAACTAATTTGTCAATAATTCTCTAAGGACCGGAAAAAAAGAGATGTTATTCAACCTTCTCTAGCGCTCATGGATAGGGATATTGTTTTCAAGTTTCATCGAAAAATCATTGTTTATAGAAAAAGCGAACTTTACTCTTTTGCAGATATTCAGATTTAGTTTCAATTGTTTAATAAATGTCTAACAATAATTATATTGAATAAAAGAAGACGAGCGTATTATTTGATTTTCTTGTTTCAAAATAATATTAATGGAAAAATTTATTTTCGATAAACTTTCATATCTTTTATTGATTCAAGTCTTTTTTCTTAGTAACATAGGGGACGTTAATAGATAAGTATCATTACATCATAAAAATACGGGACGATACTAGAAGAATAACAACAAAAATACATCAAGGTTTTAGTCAAAGACAGAGCGTAGTCATCCAAATGGATATCCAGAATATTGGTTATCGTTCTGTCTGATACACTCAAGAATATTTATATCCCTATTTTTAAAATAGTAAAATGAGCGTCAGTGAAAAACATATTGCTTTGACAAAATGATTTCTTGATCCGGTTTCTCTATCGCCCATAAGAATTTTCGAATATGATCAATATCTATATTCCATTGATACACGTCATCTAACAATCGCTAAAGAATTACAACGACAAAAAAAAAAGTTTAACGTATTAAAAAGTTTTCCCATTTATTATGTTAACAGTGGTGATGAATAGTTTACAGAACAATATTCCAATCTTGTGCACAGATGTGGACAAACATATTGCTCAGGATCATTTAAAAATGAGTTTATCAGAGTTTGAACAATTAAATATTTGTCAATACATCCAAATGTAATTAAAACCTTCGAACTTATATTATCAAACCGTCAAATAAAACTAGCTATATATTTATGTGAAACTGGTTGCAAAAATTCTGAACGAACGGTACTTCACAAAATGAAGCAACCTTGGACAGAAGTTACTTTTCGCAAAATTTGTGATATATTTCTGAATTTGAAAGAAACTTTCCTTTGTTCAAATAATTCATTCAAAAGTGTTGTAGAATTAAGCAATTCAACGAAACTATCAAATGAGCAATCAAATCATAATTGACTTCTTTTAGATAATATTCGTAATAAAAAAGAAGTAGAAAATAATGGTTTCATTAAACAGTATTGTCAATTTTTAGTACGACTTTTGTGTATAGTCATCTGCTCTTGGTCAATGTTCGTTTATTTATCAAGTAAAATGATTAGTTAACCGTATTAAAAGTCAAGACATTATCATGATTTTCAGTTTTTATTAAATTACTCGTTCTTTGATACTGTTCCGTCCTGAATATAAAATGATCGTTTCTGACAAAAAGAACAATGTATTCTGACGATTTTAGCCATTTATAAAAGGTCAAATCATCGTATTGTAAGTAGAATTTTTAAGCGTGTGTTTTTCTTTTTTTCAAACTTAAAATTAGAAACATCGCTTAATAATTGATCATTCTAATTAAAATATTATACGAAATTCAAACTTGATATACAGATACAGTTCTTCTAAGTAGCCAACTCATTTATATATGTTATTATCATTATTTATCTAGTTGTTTCAATAAAACAATCATTCATCATTAATTAGAAAAAAATCTAAATATATATCTTAATTTAAACGATTTCTTTTCAGTGTCTCGTGATGTAATTGCGATAAAATTTTATTTGTAGCTCTTTATGGTGAGAGATCAGCATGTTTTTCTAAATACATGAGTACAGCTCTGCACTTTAGAATTCAATATTTAGTAACAATCGAACAGATAAAACTTTACATAACTCATTTCGTTTTGTCTACTGTCATTTTAACATTCAATTACATGTGTTGTTTTTTTATAATTGTTAATTCTTGTGAGTTATACATTTGTCAATATCTCGATATGATTTTCTCGTTTTCTGTAAAGAAAATTTTATTATAAATATTGACAACTTTCGTAAGTGCCCTTATAATATTTTTATTTTAATACAACACAAAAATATATCTACTGTATGTTCGTCGAGTGCTTAAATTTGTTCATTAGATTTTTGAAAGTATCATAGTTTGATATTTTGACATCTATGATTACCTTAATTAAAGCAAACAAGTAATAGGACACTTGTACCAGATTCATTCATTATCTGACGCATACTCAGAACTGATCGGTTGAAATTGTTGACTTAACCGGCGAAAAACCAGTTCGCTTAATATATCAATTAAGTGTGGATGTGAATAAATTACTTCTCTTTAGTCACACTCACGTCCACACCCGTCTCAATTCATAAAAGGATCCTATCATCGATAGAAAGATAGCGCAGTTTCTATATTAAAAGGTTTCTTATTATGTAAATATTTTTACAGTTTCATAATGCTAGTAGTTGACGAGATCGTGATAAGAGAATGAAATTTATCTGATATTTTGTAATAGAAGCACGAACTGACAATTACTAGTTATTGGGATTTTATAAAGGTCAGTCAAAAGTAGTCCAGAAAAGTGCGCTCGAAATTTCGAGGTAAAAAACATTTTGTGTAGACCGAACTTAACTTCTAATAAATGGTTCACTTTTCGTGAGTATAATAAATTCATTCAAAATAATCCGAGGCTCTCATCGTGTGATGAAAAAAATATTTAAGCTGGAATTTTTGTAAAGACTGGAAATTTGTCAATTGAAAAACTTTCAGGCTCATATCTCTTGATCATTAAAACCATTGAAATCGTTAAAAACTAGCCAAATAGGATAGCTTTAATACCTCCTCCCCCCTCTCTCCAAAAAAAAGCTGTCAGCGCAATCCCTGCGGGATTAAAACGTGAAGCACGATACACCCATTGTTGCTAATTCCCTGAAAGCTTGTCTTTTTTATGTATATTCAAGCATATACCGCAAACATTCTTTATCTTACTGCATAAAACTTCAACAATGAAATACTCTCTACATAGATATCAATTATATGTTAGGTATACATAGCTTCTAATAGTTTCTCGAAGCCGTCCGTTACTCTCTATGATGAGTTCATGCAGTGTGTGTCACGGTCTGTCATGGTCTCTGGACCCTGTCTATCATGGTCTGTGATAGTCTTTGGAGCCTGTCTGTCACGATCTATGGGAGAGGAGGGGGTGGATGCAAATTCCTATCCTATATACTTCAACACTCCTTTTTAGGTCGTGTTTCACAAAATCCGGCCAGTTTTAAGAGTTCAACTGGATCTCACCAGTAACTAACAGATCCGACAGTCCGGTTCTCAGTATGATCTAACACAAAAGCGTTAACTAATAAATCTGTTGTAATTTGTATTGAGAGCAAAGTAGATTTATTTATAATTAAAACAAACAATTGTTCGACATAAAATTAATCAGAAATTGTTATTTCAAAACACTAGTTTTCATTTCATTATTGATAATATAAAAATTACCATCGGATGAATTCTTTTTATCAAGTATGATTAAGATGTTGTTATTGAATATTTTGATCTTTAATATCTTTTCTTACATTGACTAAAAATAATTTATTATTATCCAAAGATTTCATATCATTGGATATTTTTTTAGTCTGAGACATATTCTTTTTTTGTAAAATATTTTGTTCATTTAAATCATAACTTTCAATCCATGATCGATGTTTTGAATATGTTTTATATTGATTTGAATTACTATTTGTTGATGATGACCAACTTGATAATGTATTATTAATTGTTTTGTCATAATTGTCTTCTGAAATATTATCAATAGTCAATGGTAATGGTGATGGTGTTTTAAGTTTTTCAGATCTATGAAAAAATTTCGAAAGAGATATTTGAGAATAAGATGAATCATTATTTTTGATTGATTTTGTTTTTGTTGGTTGATCAGATAAATGTATTTCACAATGTGATTCTATATTATCTGATTTACTTTTAACTGTTTCTTTGAAATTTCTATATAAACAAAAGAAAAATTATTAATCAATAAATTTTTCTACTGACGTTTTTTCATTTTGTTGATGATTAATTGTTGTTGATGGAATGTTATGAATATTTTCAATATGTCGTAGGCATATTTTATTAACTTCTGTTTCATGATGTTTTTCATTTACTGAAAATGATTTACGTTTTCTTCGTGATATACAATATATTGATAAACATCCATTCCATAGTAGAGGCATCAATATTTAATCGAATAGT